GGGGCACCAGGGGCACCCTGCAATACAGGGGAAGGTAAGGGGTGCCTTGCCCAGCACAGCCCCCCCCAACTCCCTCTGTTCACCCGCTGCCCCTGTCTCTCCCCCCAGATTGACCAGGATGGGCTGACTCTGCCTGAACGGACCCTCTACCTGGGGCAGGACGAGGAGAGTGAGAAGGTGAGAGAGGGGACACACCAATGCCATAGGGACACACCAGGAGAGGGATCAGCACCCAGCATGGGGTGGCGGACAGAGGGCACCCCACCGCCAGCAGCGCCAGGGGCTGGGGTGCCCACAGGGCAGTGCAAGGGGGCACTCAGCATCCCTTCCCTCGGCACAGATCCTGGCCGCGTACCGGGTGTTCATGGAGCGTCTGCTCACCCTCCTGGGGGCCGAGCACGTGGAGCAGAAGGCCCAGGAGATCCTGCAGCTGGAGCAGCACCTTGCCAATGTGAGAGGGATGCCTGACCTGGGCTTTGGGGTCCCCCTGCCCAGCCCTTGGGCACCTCAGTCATAGATCTTTGGGGACCTTCATGTCTGGCCCTTGGGGATCCCAGCCCCTTGAGGACACCGTGGCAGATCCTCAAGGATCACAGTCCCAACACCTTGAGAACCCTCCCTCCCAGGCCTAGAGGTAACCACTCCAGCCCTTGGGGACCCCCCATGTCCAGTCCTTGTGAACCCACTCCAGGCTCTTGAGGACTCCATGCCCAGCTCTTGGGGACCCCAGTCTCGGCCCTGGGGGACACCCGTGCCCAACCCTCAGGTACTCCAGCTCCTTGGGAATCCCATGACCAGCCCTCAAGGCTCCACTGGCAGCAGAGGGTTCCCAGGGCAGGGAGCCGGGAGGGATGTGGGTCAGTAGCCCCTCTTGCCCTGGAGCTGTACCCTATCCCTGTGCCACCCCCAAGGTGGGCAGTGGGACAGTGACAGCCATGCCCACCCCGTGCAGATCACGGTGTCCGAGTATGACGACGTGCGGAGGGACGTCAGCAGCATGTACCATAAAGTGACCCTGGGTGAGCTGCAGCGCATCACCCCCACGGTGAGTACCCTCGGAGCCCAGCCTGCCACCCCACGTCCCCCATCTGCCCTGTGCCCCACACTTCTCCCTGTCCCCCTGCTCCATGTCCTCACTGCCCCCCCCCGATAAATCTACTTGAGGGTGATGAATCCACCCTGCACTTTTCTGGGTGGGAAGGGGTGGTGGGAGGCTGGAAAGCCTGGAGTGGGTTCCCTCCAGGGTGGCATGGAGGGGAGTCACTGTGCCCCTCTAACAGTGCCCTGCCCTGGCAGCTCAAGTGGAAGCGCTTGCTGGACCGTATCTTCCACGACAACTTCTCAGAGGAGGAGGAGGTGGTGCTGCTGGCCACCGACTACATGCACAAGGTGTCCGACCTCATCCGTGTGACACCCAGCAGGTGAGGGGGGCTGGCACCCCCTGTGTCCCTGGCACCTTCCCCAGCCTGGCAGCAGGTTGGCAATGGGGGTGGGCACAGGGTAGCTGTGGCTGGTCCACACCCCCTCCCAGTCACATCCATACTGGGGAGGCCAGGCTGGGCATGGGGACCCTGGGAAAGCTCTTTGGAGAAGGCGCTGTCATGAGCCCCACAGCCCCCCGGACATGCCTGGCCACTCGCTGAGCCCTCCTGTGCTAGAGGTCACCAGACTCATCACACAGGGTGCCAGCCTGTCCCTGTGCTCCCCCAGGCCCTGGCCACTTCTGGCCTGCCTGGTTCCTGAGCAGAGGTGTCCCCACCCTGGCACACGCTCCCCACCCTCCCCGGGTGCCTAGGGACATGCCCAGTGGGTGATCTTTCCCCCCGTCACCAGGATCCTTCACAACTACATGCTGTGGCGAATCGTGGTGGTGCTGAGTGAGCACCTCTCCACCCCCTTCCGTGATGCCATCCATGAGCTCTCCAAGGAGATGGAGGGCAACGAGAAGCAGCTCGAGCCAGGCAAGATCTGCCTAAGCCAGGCTAACAAGCATTTTGGCATGGCCCTGGGTGCCCTCTTCGTCGAGGAGCATTTCTCCTCTGCCAGCAAAGCCAAGGTAGATGATGATGTTTGTGGGCATGAAACCACCACGTCCCTCCTGTCACCTTGCCGTGGTGCCTACCACCACCCAGCACCCCAATGAGGCCTGTCTGGTGGGGTGATGGGTGGTGAGGACACCATGTCAGCACCTGTGGTGACCCACCATAGGTGCAGCAGCTGGTCGAGGACATCAAATACATCCTGGACCAGCGCCTGGATGAGCTGGACTGGATGGATGAAGAGACACGGAGAGCAGCCAGGGCCAAGGTAGCAGCCCCCAGTGTGGACCCCTCCCCTTGCCCCCACCACGGCCCAAGGGCACGTGTCTGACCCCACCACTCGCTTTGCCTGCAGCTCCGGTACATGATGGTGATGATTGGGTACCCTGATTTCCTGATGAAGCCAGAGGCCATCGACAAGGAGTATGAGGCAAGGGTGGCCCGGGGCCATGTGGGGTTGTGGGCATGTGGAGGGGGAAGGTGGTCCCCACGTCTGCCTCAGGGTATGCAGAGACCAGGACGGGGAGATGCCACCCCAAAACAAGGCACCTCCTGGTAGCTCATGGTGCCCATCAATTGCATGGCCACAGCCACACGGGCAGTACTGTACTGTCCCTGGGGGCTGGGATGATGTCTCCTTCCCCACATCGCACCCCCCAGAGCTCAGCTCCATCCTCAGTAAGGGCTGGGGGCGACAGCATGGCCCAGGGACCCCATGGAGGTGATGGAGATGCAGCTGTCCACGTGGGCACATAGCATGGGACATGAGGACACACGTGCTACATCCAGCCCACAGCCACAACCCCACACCCTCTAATCCCAAGGCTCACAGGGGTGGGAAGACACCCCAGCACAGCTCCCCACACTGTTGGGGTTGGCATTTGGGTCTGGAATCCCCCTGATGTGGCCATGCCCCCCCAGTTCGAGGTGGATGAGAAGACCTACTTCAAGAACATCCTCAACAGCATCGCCTTCAGTATCAGGCTCTCGGTGAAGAAGATCCGGCAGGAGGTGGACAAGTCCGCGTGGGTATCCCCTTGCCCTGGGGATGGGGGGGGGG